AAGTCAATATATTGTTGTTACGTTATCATTACAGAAGTTACACTCAAAAACATGGACAGCGAAGTCAAGTACACCGATAGGTTTCTGAAACTGAACAGAGAGTCTTCCGTGGAAGAATCGAAACTGGCTTATGATGAAATGGCCCCAAGCTGGGAGAAGGTATATAAATGCTGCGATAAATGATTTAGTGTTCCGTGGTTTCGGGAGGTCAAAAAAGGAAAGTAGAAAGAAGATACTGTCATCTTATTTAAAAAGTCGACCTGCCCCTTAAATTTGAAGGAGAATCAGAATTCGACCCTTGCAGTAATCAGTTCGCTTCGCTTTGTGACCTTCCCGGATCGATTTAGGTTTATGGGAAACTGACCGCCTACCCCTCCCCTGACTCAACGTTGACATTTGCGTCTCACTTCGGGCAAAATGTTGGGTTAGGGGAGGGGTAGGTGGGCAGTTTCTCAGAAACTTAAAGTGATCCACTTTCCCTTAACAGAACCTTGGGCTGGCCCGCTTTCAATACCGAGCTACGTAGCTTGGCTCATGCTTGTTTTCTCTTAAAGTTGTCGTTGTGTTTATATGAGAAGTTGGGTCGGCTCTTTTTCTGAGATCTCACTTTGAGCAACCGAGATCAGGCTCGGTAAGAGACCCAGCTTGCCTTTTCATATAAACACAACGACAATGTTAATAGTTCAGGGGCGCCCAACGAGAATATAGTTCAAAACCACATAAACATAGCATTGTTGAACGTTCTTTAGTATTTAAACGGTAGATAAAGGCTTATTTTTATAGCCTAAAAATTTTTCATCTGTTCGGATTTCCTAGCTGAAAGTATAGTGATCCGAAAATTATAGGGATCAAAATATACCTTGTCGAAAATTTCAGCCAGAAAAAAGGCTTCCGAAAATTCTAGGTGACCTTTTTAGGGTAAAAATCTGTTAAAAATGGGCAATTATACCACTTTTTGATGTTCGAAAATCCTAGGAGAGGCAGGCAAGCAAGAAATTTTACAGAAAATGATCCGAAAATTCTAGATCTCAAATCGTCTTCCGAACAGATAATTTTCCGAAAATTGTCGTTGGGTGCCCCTGATAGTTATATGGAAACAAGGCATGAGCCGAGGCAGCTCAGTAAAGCGGGCCAGCGCGGCTAACCTCTCTGGCTCGCCTCATATAAACAGGCCCTAAGCCTCATCCGGTAAATCCTAGCTATCTAGTTTCTCGCTTCAATTTTACTCTAAAATGAAACAAACTTTCGCTAATTTACTGTAATATTTTAAAAAGGCCACGTATTTCTTTTGTCGTAGATAAGCGAAAATGTGGGTTACAAAGGTCACATTCTTTGCGTGGAGGCGTTTGATCGCGCTGTGAGCGCCAACGATGTTTATCCCAACCCCACGAAAGACATAAAAATCCTTGACGCCGGAGCAGGCACAGGTGGGATTGGCGAGATGTTGAAAGCTCGAGGATACACTAATGTCGACGCACTGGATATTTCCCAGGAAATGTTAAATTTAGCGGCGAGTAAAAATCTGTACAAGAAACTGATCTGTGCTCCGTTGTCCGACACGCACATGAAGGAGATAGAAACTGCTGAATATGACGTGGTGTTGTGTGCAGGCGTCATAGTGTATGGGCAAGTGAAGCCTGGGGCGATTGAGCAATGCGCGCGCTTCGTAAAACCCGGTATGTGATTTTCTTTTCTTGTGAGTGTAGTGAGAAGGAGTGAATGGTTTTGTGTTGTAGTTTAAGTGTGCGCGCCTTTAGCCTGTTCCAGATAGTACAGCGCGGCGTACAGATGGTGGGGAGCGAGTGAAGTCGTAGGCGGGAGAAACAAGGGGAGAAAACGAGGGAAGATCGAGGGAAGACTTCTTTTTTCCCTCACCAGTCTCCCCTCGTCTTTTATTACCTTGGTCAATTTTTCTCCCGCGCTTTACAGTCTGGAAGTCTGGAACAGGCTAGCGCTTCCTAAACAGGTTTTTGTTTAGGTTGGCACTCCACATGCACAGAACTCTATCCACACACTCGAAAATTGAATGGTATTACTTGAGCTCATCATCATAATCATGGTGTTTGGGGCGCGAAATACAAAACAAATATTCGTGCGTGGAAAAATACACACCAAGTTACCCTAAGAAATATTCATACACTGGGGTAAAAAAATTCATACAAGGGAAATGTTAACGGAAAAACGTCATGCCACTCGAAAATTCCCCGCTCCCTTCCATAACTTTTTTAATGGTCCATTCCTTAGTAATAAGTTATTGTAAACGTTGGTGCATTCTCTCTTGAACGTATTTCTTGTGTTTCTTTTGTAGGTGGCCTGTTTATTTTCTCCATTCGTTGCGATTCCTATGACCCCGTAGAGTACGGCTATAGTGCCACATGCGAGAAATTAGAAAAATCAGGGAAATGGAAGCTGATACTGAAAGAAAAACGTGAGCTTCATTCAACACCAAACGAGGAACGATATCGTTATTGTTATCTTATCACGTATCAAGTTCTGCAGTAAAAAGTACATCGTAGTTGATAACTAAAACGAAACTATTTCGCTTTTATGACTGAGAGGTTCAACCTTTCCCCCTCCCTCTCTAATATTCACGAATATTGTCAATATAGGTTCGTTGCATTAATAAAAGATTGAAAGAACTCACTCGTTTGTTTTTTATAACTTTTACTCTTTAAGGCTTTATTGACCATATTTTTCTTATTTGACCCCTTTTTTTGACTTTTTTCCCCACTGCGGAACCTTGTCCCAGGCTAGTCTTGTGAAAGGGGCGTCAATTCCCGGAGGGTTCTTGCTCGACCTGACAAGTTTGAGCTTAGCTATTAGAGAGTTTAAACTAAAAATTTAAGCAAAGTGAATTAATGTGCTGTTTCAAAATTCCTCGCGTTTATTCAGGCCCGTAGTAGGCATAAAATGACT